CTTGCCTCCTCATTGTGGTTCCCATGTGACTGTGGGATACCAAGGTACTTGTAGCTAGTCTATATGTCTGCTATGTGGCCCGCTGGTAGTTCCATATATATCCATAGCTAAGTAGGAGGGCAACAGTAAACGATGAGCTCAAAGAGGAATAAAATATTGAAAGTTTAAATGATGCTAATTGTCTTATTAATAGTGACATTCACAACAGCATGTATCAGTGAGCTGACTTAACAAGTAGTTTGCTTTTAAAAAGTTGTTCCTGTTCAGTCCTCCAAGGACAAAGTTGTTGGGTTTTTCCCTTCTTTGAAGAAGTACATTACCAAAGATGGAAAGAGTTGGAAGGTATAATTAAAGAAAGAAAAAATAATTCTACAAGTTAAAGATTACTGTCCAGCAGTACCCATAAAGGATGTTTATTTCTGGTTACAACATGGTCTGCACTGCAATAAATGAATGGGGCTCTTCTGGCTGAGGACCTTTTCCCATCATCTCACCCAAGGTAAGGGAGGGAGACAACTCAACCCTACAAATTCCCACCATAAACTTTTTCTTCCCAAGAGGTCCCCAGGTGATTTCTCTTCTGAGCCAATAATGCTTCATAGGAAAAAGTTTGTGTCTATTTGAGATACTGCAACAATGAGCAGGTTTACCTGACACAGTAAGCTAAATTTTAGTTCAGCTCATTATTCATCCAAGCCCAAAGAGCAGTTTAAACATAAGTCACATGTTTAAGGACTTAAGGTAGTTAAGGAGAAGTAGCTTGACCCCAATTTCTAACTATGTCTTGTTGTAGCTTAGCTTAACTTTACAATAAGTCAGCAAGTCATGTGACCATGGAATAGCTAACTTATAATTGTCACTTCTGACTCTTCATGACTTGATGGACATCATTTTACTAAGGCTGTCTATCACTAGCTGCTTCTTCCTTCTGTTTGGGTCATCAATGATCTATTTTTCAATAGACTTTGATTTTTCCAAGTATCAATCTCCTCTCTATTACTTTTGCCTTCACATTATGTGTCCCAAATGTCTACACTTTGTTAGTAATGCTTCCAATGAGCAGTCTGGTTTTATTTCATCTAGTAGTTCATAACTTCTACAAACTGGGTAGGTTTCATCTACTAATTCATCTAGTACTCCACACATTTAATTTATGGTTAAGCTGCCATTATTCCTCCAGAAATACCAAATGGAGAGATCCCAGCAGAAATGACTGCAAAGTGGGGCCCTTACTGATGCTGCTGAAGCCCAGCCTCTACTGCTCCTATCTTGTTCTTTACCACCTTCCTTATATGTGCTTATAGGGGGGTGCTTTTCAGAATAAGGCAGGCCTTCTCCCGCTCAATGCACATACGTCCCAATTTTAATTGGGTCACCACATTTGGTTATGTTTTTAATTCAAGTGTTAAAACAACAATAGCCAGGAAGCACTGGGTGATTCAGCACTGAGCAATTTGTAGGGATACCTGGAGGGCAGGGATGAGGTGGGCTGTTAAAATCCAGCTATCTATAACTTGCTATGCTTTCTCGCGGGTGCATTCTATGAGTCTGTTAACCATGATTATAGCCAAGCCCGGCTTAGCATCTCATGCAGATATGCTCTTTGAGAAATACAGCCTCAGCTCTGAAGGTACTGTACGTATGTAATTCATTCATTTTATGTCATTTCTGTGCTGCCTCTATGGACCTGGAGTGGCTTTTCTTTTCGTCAGAAAGCAATCTTTCTCTCTCCATCCCCCATTCATGCATACCAACATGACCAATCTTCTTGACATTTTAAAATATAGTGGGTTAACTCTAGGTCTGTACACTTAGGGAATGTGATCAAGAGGGACATTTCAAGGCAGGCCTTCTCTGGAACAGTATCCCCTGGAGTTCAGACTGTCCCCTGTATTTGGGGTGTGCTGTAAAACTATTAAAAACTGGCTGTTTCAACAAGCCCTTGGGATCTAAATGGTGGAATGCTTGCAGGTTAGGGCATTTTCTGGCAGTTTTTTTTGGGGGGGGTAATTATTAATGTGGTTGTTATCGTTGTTATGATTTTGTATCTTTTTAACCTGATTACTGAATAAGGTGTATGAGTCTTTCAGAGCGACTTGTTGAGTGCATCAGTATGTAAACCTAGGTAAAATTAAATAAAATAATTAAACTCTTGCTGGGCACCGTAGCCA